GATGTCTCCAACAAATGCAGTACTGCTTTATTAATACTCACGAGTACCATGAAATTAGACCACTTCAATATACGATGACCCATTAATCGTTTTGCAGAAAATACCTTCTATGCCATACTGCTAAAACAGATGGCATGCAGGAATTGCAACACTTTTATTTCCCGGAGTATGGTGAAGTACTTTCTATCGTTATATTTTGATTGCTTAGCATATTCAAGGCATCCTTAATGTCCTTCTGAGATCTTCCATTCGGGTTTTTTTAATATACCAACTCTATTAAACCCTCCTCACTGCGTATTCAGACTTCGCCTATCGACCTCAAAACCACCTCCCCATATTTGCGTGATTCCTTTGTAGGAAAAGCGAACATATTTTAACTTTTACCCCGTTCACAAATGAATGTAATGACCCATTGAGAATTTATCGAAAGCTTACGTGTGCTCGCTAACGTCTCTTCTGAATTCTCTGAGGAGAATTTTGGAAACCTCTTACGGTCGAAAATGCACTTTGAGAGAACAGCTGACTTTCACACTTCCTAAATTCCGTAATAATTGATAGTGATTATATATTTAAAGGTTCCTTCTGCTTTGGTAGAAATTAAAAAACAGGGATAAAGATACTGTCATACTCCAGGTTTAGCGAGTAAGCTCGTACTATGAAACAAACAAGTCCGCGAAAGTCACCAACCTAGCCAATAAATAACATCATTCTCGAGAACAAGGGTAATTAACCCAGACATAAATAAGTTCAAAAACATTCTGCCCTCCGATGAAACCTTCATTTGTCTGCTATTACATTTTTACTGAAATCGTACGCGACAATATATAACACCTTATCGCCAGGTTTCGGGTTTTCCTTATACGAATTAACGGTTTTGGCATGACGTCTAAGGTATTAAGTATTATTTTACTCTCACGTATTGGGTGCTGATATACCAGCGAAACATGTCTGAAAAATGACAAATTTCTATTGCGATGTACACGTAGTTTCCAACAATTTCCAGCGTTTGCTCTAGAGCGAGGTAGGTGCAGGGACAGGGATTTTTATGTTAAATACTTTTTATTGGAAGTAGGCTTGCGCCGCATCTACCGCACTTTCTTCTTTCTGACCCACGGTGTCATTACAAATCACAAGGACTGGGGTTGCGAGAGGTTTTTCACAAATGGCGTCGCATGAGGCTGAACATAAACGTACCACCACACCTTTCTGCAGATATGACACTTGCTGATAACACCTATCGTGCCCTGCTCGAGATTCCGTTTTGGTCCAGCTCATGTAGTGAATGTTGTAAATTGAGTCAAAGCTACGAGATCACTGGGTAACTACGCTTTGTGGGAGTTCCCAAGGATGAGTAATCAGGGCGGCGTGATAATTGATTGTTGGGCCTGCCCCTAAAGCAACCCCTTTGAGCCGAGCCGTAGGAGTTGAGATGCGGGTTCACCTGCAACGGAACCACTTGCGTTCTTTTTCGGCCGGATCGCCTAGGAGCTTGATGGGGTTGGCATGCTGCAGGAATTTTGGGCTCTTGCGTCGGTTTGGGCAAACCAAATGTGTGTCCAGTAGTAGTTCCAGTGATAAGTTTAGAGTGTTTATTGTAGCTCGGGCTGTCATGTATCCCATAAGGATGACTTCCGGCCATTTGCTGTATGCGTCAACGGCGATAATGAAGTTCAGGCCATTCAGCAGTCCAGCATAATCGATGTGGACGCTAGACTCTGGCCCGTTTAGAGAACACAATGGCATTTTAAACTAGCTAGAGTAGACACTGTGACTGAATTTGTCCATTTCATTTCTAAATTATACTGAAAAGTGTTCTAAAACAGCGTTATTAAAAACTACTCAAGCTCAGACGTTAACTTTCTTTCTAAACCATTTTATGCTCACTTCCAGAAAGAGGACAGTGTGGCCTCCAGTGTCGTAGCCAGACCCGTTGCTGTGGCTGCTGGCGGTAGCAGCCTTGGTGATGGTGACGCTGGGACACATTCGCCTCCCAGCTGCTCCCTTGAGGCCCTCAACTACGACGACGATGAGGATGAGGAGACTCACACTGATGCAAACAGTCGGTACTCCGTGGAGTACGACGTGAACGACGATGATGACTCCCTCCTGCAGCACCCGCTCTCCGTTTGCGCCTCGCGTGCAGTCTCGGTCTGTGACCTCTATGAGGCCGAGCCGATTGCCCTGGAGTACCCCATGTGTCACCTAGACAGTTCGCCCGACTCCAACTCGTCAACTGGGGAGAGGAGAGAAGAGTGAGTACCGATCCCTCTGCAACTACCTTCACCTTTGGACCCTTTGGACTTATTTATCTACTCACCAAAAATAAGTTGTGTCTTTGAATATCCACCAGGGCATGTTGAGAACTACCGTGGAGCCTCGGGTGATGAGCAGGTCCATCTACGAACACTTCACGTAACCAGCGAACCTCTCGTAGAAAATTTGTTTCGATTGACAAGTGTCCGCTCAATTAACGAGTTGTCAGTGTGTGTGTGTGTCCGTGTCCGCCGTTGAGTCTTGCTTCCAGGGTATGCGCCCTCGGTCGCCTGCAGCCAATCAGTGGAATGGTGCGTTTTGATTGGCTTAGTTTTGCAAGATGAGTAGTTCAGACGACGAGCTCGGTGCTGGAACGGATTAAACGCGTTAAACGAGGCTGCACTGTACCGTTATACGCGTTGATGAATGTTCACTGATCGCACTAACGGAACTCATTCGTTCCGCTCTGCCTTGAGGCTTACTCTCGAGCCCTGCCAGCAGCCGCATAGCTGCTAGTAGTCTAGGCAGATGACATTGCTCAGTGGTGATTGCGTCAGGCTTTTGGTCAAAAAGTCACGGGTTCGAGCCTCGGTTGCGACAATAAATGGTCATTCCAGTCGGTAGTCTAACTACTGTGATGCACTCTCGGCTTAAGTAATCCTAACTGATGCACCTTCGACCTTTTACTTATTGTTTATAAGAAATAAGTTCCTGAATTAGTCATTAGGAGTACATAAGGTGAAGACATAACTGTCAGTTAATGAGTCCAAGATAACCACTGCTATTAACCTGCTTCTGAATTTATTGTTCCCTAAGGTAATAGGAAACCTAGCTTCGGCTAAATAGACATCAGCTAGGATTTATATGCATCGTCGGGTTACCCGATTCGTTACTTAACTGCCACCCACCTTAAGACGCACGTAACGTTGGCAGTCACTCTTGACTTACCGATTCTTAAGTCAACAGCTATTCAGACCGTGTCGATCACGAAAGGTATATATGCAGGTTTTATGTTCTTGCCAAACCAGTCGTTTTTTTCTTCGGTGACAGTTGCTTCGTAAAATACCCTATTACGCTTGTCTGGCAGAGACGTTTGCCGCAGACCTGTCTGCCTGTCTGTCTGGCTGTGACAACAAGCTGTCCGACGAAAACCTCTTCTCCGTCAATCCACTCGGTTTTGTGATCAGTCTCACCTCTGATCTGTTGATTTGTGATTGAGCACAACTGCTCCACCCTTTGCCAAGACGGCATGTCCAATCTTGAGGTCGCGCAGCCACTGATCCCAGCGTTTTTTTTTTTATCTGACACCAACTTGTGTGTTTTTCTCCTGTACTTATTTGCTGTTTCTTTACAGTTTTCGGAGGCCATTTTGAGAGAGAATTTTCGCGCAAAAATGCGAATTTTCGCCTTTAAGGTGTTTGAATTAGTAAAGAAGGAGGAGGCTAAGCTACCAACGGAACAAATTGTCTATTTTAAGTTGACCGAATTGTGAAAAGACTTAAGGCGTTCGGCGGGATTTGAACCCGCTGAGTAGGGACGGCCTTACCACAAAGCCAATGCTCTACCAGTTGATCGCCACGCCTTGCGCCGTGAATTTAGTCTCACTTGAATCGACTTTACCTGCCCAACTTTACCGCTCGTATGGAATCCACCAATACGGAACAGCTAGCTGAGTGCCTAAGCAGGATTTCCTAAGCAATGCTCTAGAATCCACAAGAAGGACTACTAGGCTGCCTTGTTATTGAGCAGGTTTGGCAGATTTGCTTAATTTAAGTTGGTCACATTGTAGCTCAAATGACAGAGCATTGGCTTCGCGTTAAGGCCTCCCCTACAATGTGGGTTCAAATCCCGCCGAACGCTGCGAGTTTTTTTCACAACTGGGTCCGACAAATCTCCCAAACCGCCTTAATAAGTTTGTTTACTGTCCTGAGGTTTCAAACTCTTAGATGACTTCAACGTCAGAGGTAACAGCTGACAACTGTATGGAGAGTAAACCAATCAACTATCAATGACGTATGTCTGCAGTAGACTGAGCAGTGCACTGTACGCCGGCATCAAATCGATAAATCGATTGATTGAGTCCCTATCCGTGGACCAGGCCTTGCTGAATTCTTGGTTCGTCTTGTTTCTGACGTCACGAGTATCTTGGCGGCTGCGAAGTTGACTTCATGGCCCGTTTTGTAGTTTCAAAGAGCAACTTGTAATAATTCGTTACCCTGTCACACAGGCAGCATATGAGTGATTTGAGCACGCTTTTAACGCGCCTCGTAGAATACCGGCAGAGATTTTTAAATATATTTGAACAGGATATCAAGTTACCGTTTGTTTTTCATTTTGAATTGGTATATTGGTTATCGAGTGGAGACATTGTCCTTCCCCATGTTGCGTTGGATTAGACAAGGTGAAAGTGTTCGAGTAGCATAATTTTCAGATTATTGTTTCTAGCAACTATTTTTAAACAGTTTTGGTACTAGCGGTGCGTACGAAATGAATTCCTAAAATCGGTTACTTAACATATAGACTATTAAAACTCAAACAGTTCTGCTGCAGAGCACACTGCAGGTACTACATTGAGTATACGGTAAAGACCTACATGAAAGTGATATTAAACATCCGTCATAAAGATTGGCTACTTGTACAAAATAACTTTCGTTAATTCTAAGCGGTCACTAGACTGGTAGTGACATCAAACAGAAAACACTGATATATGCAGAGGATTGTCAGGAACCCACCACAATCTTCCAAAACGTAACAACAACACAAGATGTCTGTGAAATCGGATGACCAATAGTGGGATCTACGTCAACCAAAACCTTTCCGACAATCTCACTAAACAAAATAATATCAAGCTGAAAATTCGACTTGGCAGACATATGTTTTCAGCGACTCTTCATCAGGCCAGTACATTTGCAGGGATAATTAAAATTGTGCAGTTGTACAGGGTTAATAAATTTACTTTTATTAAAAGTCATCATTTTCACGCCGCCCGCATGGCGAGATCGGCGTGTACGGGTGCTTATGCTAGGGGGGGAAGGGGAGGAAATTGAGTTGAGTTGTGGGCATTAATCAGAGTTCAGGTAAATGAAGTGATAATTACTGTCCTTTACACGGAGCGAACGACTGTCTCTAGGGGGAAGGGACAATGTGCGATCGCCACCTGGCGTCGGAGTCGGCCACGGAAGTGAAAGTGCTTGTGTTTGCGTCTTCCGACAACACAGCATTGTATTCGTTAGCCATATAGCCACTGCTTCGGCTGTTGCAAGCGCCCGTTGGCGTAGGCCCTTGGAAAAGTTAGCTGGCATCCGGTAGGCAACCTGAACATCTTCATTAGTAACAAGTCGATTATTCGTATTGACAAGGTGTCTGGGCATAAATCTCAAGATCGATCTGCCTCCACCTCTACTTAACCAGGTCGGTATGTGCTCACGTTCCCTCTTTTCCAGGCGCTTTGTTGTTCGGTTCATGTATCCTGCTCAATAGGAGCAAGTGAAAGACTAAAAGCACATGGAGTAGGCCTTCAACGGGAGTCGGTCTTTACCTTGCAATCGTAAGAGAGCGTTCATGAAGAACACGCTTAAGTTCACCGCGGGGAAAGCGCTGGTGATAACAGCATTCAAACGTCGACTTACCAGCTCGCTTGTCCATTGCCTAAAAAAGGGCGGTCTTATGAACACGTCCTTCTTTTCTGTGGTTAAGGGAACAGGCTTTTTTTGGCGCGTTCATTATTATGCCTGAGGATGAACCTTTCCGGATATCTTTTCTCAAGAAGCGTGTTCTGCAGCTGTTGGAATTCTGCTTTGACAGTTTCATGAGAGCAGATTTGTCGTACTCTAGCAGCTAATATCATTTGGTCCCTCTATAAAAGTTGAATTAAATGTTCGTCGGAGAAGATTTATACAGGTAGCAGAGAATTTATCGTGGATTGAGAAAACTGTTCCTGTCCACTGTATTCCGCGTACAGTCCTTGCTAGACGATAAAACTGCCCATGAACGAATACAGACGAATGTGCAATCAATATCTGGAAAACGTCTTCGAACAACTGTTTGCTTGCTGCCCAGCACCCAAGCTCCGTTTACTGTTATAACAGACCTTGCACGGACGCCGACAATGCATTTACGCTTTGAGGAAGAAATACATGTTGGTGAAGCCACGTCTCACCCATTGCCCGAGAGTGAAAACGGCAATAGCCGGACTGTTGCTATGGCGTTGGTGACATGGCATCAGCGTTTTTTTCTCTATGTAAATCATAATATCTTATTTTTCTCGTGCCTCATTTTCCCTCTGCCCTCTTCGTCTCCCAGTATGTCCCGACCTTGTTTGACAGGCTGTCCTACCCTTCCTATCGACCCCTTGTTCCAATTAGCCTCTTTCTCCTTCTCCTCTTTGTGTTTACAGCAGACAAACAAGCCAGGAGAAAAGCGAGCGCGGCGTAGGTTTGGTCATCACGTCGCCCCAGGCGGCAGGAGACAGTTCTTCGCCCGACAAGGACGGTGTTGTCGGATCTCCGCTTGAGGTACGTAGACAGTCCCCATGCCCTAGGCGACTTCCTACTACTAGCCAAATTCATCGCCATGTAAGAGGTATCCACAGCATGGCAGGTTAGCTGGGATAAGCTTAGTTAGCCGACTCTCCCTAAAAGTGGCCACGGACCTGTGAAAACTGTGTTTTTTTCTACCCTCACGTCCAGCTTCCTCTCAATGGCCCGATGTGGTAATAATTTATTATATGAAACATCGTGGAACCCAAAAACCTCAGAAGTATGTAGAACGGGAGCGGTAATAATATGGATTATGCGGGTGGGGCAGTACGTGGATGCAGGAGGGAAATATTTTTAAAAACGTATATAGCGGACAAAAACAGAATAATAGTAGATAAATTTATGGCGAAAACTTATATATTTCAAATAAAAGGCAAACGATAATAAA